CCCCCCCTGAATACATAAGAAATAATGAAAATAAAAAAACTAAAAAGATGGGACGATTCCCCCGAGACATTCTATGAAGCTGAGGCGTCGAATCGGCTTACGTTACGGTTAGAGATTTCGGCTCTTCCACGCTATCCCGAGTGAACATAAAACTTAGTCTTAACCAAAAGGCCAGGGAGTGAGGGGGTAGCCGCCCACTAGAGCATACCTTTAGCTACCCTCTTAGACCATCGTACTATGAAGACACTTGTAGATATCTAAAGCTAATTGGGGTAGTCTATTCGGTGAAGTTCTATGCTAATATATGACGTCATCAAAATCCTTAGGGAGCAGCGAGCCAATCAGAGCTCAGCTCAGGAATTAGCAAAGGAGACAGGTTTTGCATAATCATTCTTCATATCAGTGGAGGTGAGGGGTGGGGATGGGTGCTGAGTGCTGGTTTGTCTGGTTTGCCAAAAGTCGATTGTATACTATGCCGAGCGGCGAAGAAGCTTTAGATTGTCAACTGAATTTGGTCAAAAGGAAGACTATCTACACCTAAATACAGTAAAGTATCTTTGATTAGACTGGATTTACATTTTACTGTGATTTTGACTCCCGGACATATAATTTTTCTGTCCGGGAGCCTGAAAAACCTAAGTGCCAAGTCGATTGTATACTATGCCGAGCGGCGAAGAAACTTTAAATTGTCAACTGAATTTGGTCAAAAGGAAGACTATCTACACCTAAATACAGTAAAGTATCTTTGATTAGACTGGATTTACATTTTACTGTGATTTTGGTGAGTTATTTTATTTTATTTTTATTTGTTTTTGCTAAACCTTGCATAACTGAAGTAGTTTTGCTTGCATAACTGAAGGTCCTGAAGTAGTTTTGCTTGCATAACTGAAGTAGTTTTGCTTGCATAACTGAGGTGGTTTTGCTTGCATAACTGAAGTGGTTTTGCTTGCATAACTGAAGTATAGTTTTGCTAGCTTAACTGAAGTAGTTTTGTCTATTCACAGTTGACTCTTTGAGAGGGCGGAAACGTAGAAAATGGAAGAAGCTCACCAGTCAGGTGTTTGCTGGTTGTCCTCCATAACATGATACAGAAATTAATATTAAATGGCTGCAAAAATCAATAAATAAAATAAATGTTGTTAAAATATGCAAACAGTACACATGTCAAGCAATAAAGTTTGAACAAAAAGTCATTAATAAGAACTTTAATAAGAACAAAATTCCCATGGGACTGAATTTGTATCTTCATGATAATGATTTTTTGCGGGGTGCACCCCCTCCTGAGAGACCCGCACCCCTCCCCTGAGAAAAATCCTGGATCCGCCCCTGCAGTCCCCTCCCCTCTAAAATATCCATCCGTATAAAATGGCCGCAAGTATTCTTTCTTGATGCGCATTCATACAATAAACAGGTCATCGCATTAAGATGATTATGCCGAACCTAGCGATTAGGCCAACTATAGAGCTAGCACCGATGGATTTATAGGGAAATATGTCGCGACTCTTAGCTCATGTGATCCTGATGATGTCTTCAGGGTCCTGGACCCACAGCTTGACGCAAAGTTCCGTTCATGTGATATACCTACTCTGTAACTAACATTGCATTATTCTAGGAAATTATCATTGAAAGACTGCTATCCAACCTCGAAACTACTGATATGACAGACTTTCACTTCATGATCTAGATTGATTCGCAGAGCCTGGCAGAATGATATTAGGAAAACAGCATTCTCTTTTCATATGATTATAACATAAAATTTTAGCTTTCTTTGATGCTCTTGCCAATAATCACCATGGGCTTTATCGATCGAGCGTGACGCTATCTAGCGTTTGCGCAGCCATTTTGTGTGTCATCTTGATAACTATCTTTGAAATACTGGTATATCCCACTCATCGCATCCCCCAGTGACCTCACGATGTACCATGAAACGACTATAATGAAGAAAAGCAGTAATATGATAAGCAACAGCCATTAAGTAAATGTACTTTGTTACAAAAGTCGCGATAAAGTCGAAGCAAACGACAGACTACAACATTGATGTCTCGAATAGTCATTCCCCTCAATTTACGATATCGCAAAACAGAGCAAGATTAAAAAACACACCGTAAATTGCAATCAAATATTCTGTGAAGATAAACTTCATGCGCCCTACCAAATTATTATTTTAAGATAGCACATAAAGAACTTCTAGTGAAGTTCTACTAGTATGGAGGTTCTAAAAAAACACGTTCCAACCGGAGTGGCCATTCATTACCACTGAAAAAAGAGATCCAAAGATGGGAATAAATTGAAACCACTGTTGGTGATTCCAAAACCAGATACGGTAAGAGATTAGCAATACAACATTATATTAATAGTAATGGTATCATTTCAGATCAGCATTGCATGGTCTGTATTGGTTGGTTGTTTGTAATCCCAGAGGCGCTCTTTCTTATCTCACTATCATACCTCTTTATCTCAGATTTTATCCTTCAGACTGACCGACTCCGGTCGACCAATTTCGGGACTTGTTTGGTACAAATTTATCATCAAAAATACGGCTAGTATTTAGATTTGATATAATCACTAGTTGTTGGTGTTTTTCTTTGCATGTTTGGAGGTTTCGTTATCACTTTTTTGCGCTCCAAAATGACAACATTTGCAATGTTGATTTGAAAGCCAGATATCAGTGTTTGGCAATAGCTTTGCTCCACTCATAACGGCTCTTTAGTTGCGTCAATATCTGACTTAGCGATCTTCCGTTCAAGATCTTGCGATTACCCATCGTTTGTCTTGCTTGTGATTGGACATCGTGCACTTATCTCACTGATCATGCACCGATTGGCAAAACCGGTCCGCCATTTTGGCTGCCGACTTATCTAAATGGCAAGACCCCGAGAAAATCACTAGAATGAGTACTCTTTCACACAGAACGTAGGGAAGCGTCGCTTTTTACTGCTCTTTCTACGTCGTTTTCGCTCCTTTTTTCGAAGAGGAAAAATGAGAAACGAAATGTGACGAAACTGGCGCGCGTTTTGTCCAGTTTACTAAGTATTGGTTCCCCACCCACCCCTCGTAGGGAGATGTTTGTTCATCTATTGTGGAATCGGGAGGTGACATGTGAGCATTCATAATGTAAGTAAAAATTGAGCTTTTTTACTCATTTTCTCATATTTATGTACATTTTATGGTAGATTTGTTAAATGTAGAGTTCGAGGAGAAGAATGAGGCATTTTATTTCGAGTGAGTTGAGTGATTTTGCCGCTTTTTTCACAAGATGACCAAAAAGGTTTCAACTGTTATCAACAGCGCTGCACTATCAAACATAGCTATCCCATCCGCTGGATATATCCAGAGAGATAACACAACCATTTATCTGCTTTGACAGTTCGACAACACGGGGGACCTGATCTTTACTCGGCATCTGGCATTAAGAGCTTTTGCTGAAACTAAATCACATCTTTTTACTTGGTCTTGAGCGGCCATCTTGGAATCAGACGCGCGAACCTCACGCTCAATCATGTCAGAACAACCACAAAGTACAGACAACACGACGGAACAGCCTAATACAAAGAATGGAGAAGAAAGCTTCAATGAAGAGATAAAAGTAAGTTTTTGTGTTTAAAAGTGGCTAGAAGCTACAGCTTTACGACTGAAATGTGATATATTGTTTTCTGTTTGTTGTTTTCATTGGCAGGCAGCATGGCTGTTCGCTTTCGGGCCATGTTTTGCTGGTATCTTCTTGTCTAGTGGTCTATTCCTTTTAACATGCTCTATAGGCGTTGTACAAGTGACACTTCAAGGCAGTTATGTACTGAATAATCATAAATTTAAACGCTGCAAATCAAATATGATAGAAATATGGTGCACCATATCTAGCATAATCAGACAGCGTAAGGTTGCAAGTTCACAGGCTGGTCCCATGCGTATATATTTTTTATCCGTTTTCAACGTTTTGTCCGTGAAAGGAGATTTTCTTTACTAGTTCTTTCTTTCTTTTGGTTTCTTAGGAAGCTAGTTATTTTGATATACTCTCTGTTATTGTTTTGTCTATCAAAAGTTTTTTTCACTTCCTTCCTATCTCTTTGTCTAAATTTACTCTCTCATTTCAGTTTTCTATGCTTTTTCTTTCCTTGCTGACTTCCTTTATTATTTTTACTATTCTTAATCTAGTTCTTTTTTTCACCTTTGCTTCCCTTTATTTCTTTCATTTTCCCATTCTTTCTTTTGCTTTCACTTGTTATTTTTTCTCTTTTTTTATTCCCATCTAGAAGTGAATGTTCATTAATGTTAAGCTACGCCCTAAGATCAGATGATGGATCTGCTCTGGTATCCAGAGATTACGACAACAATCTCCAGACAAGCCCTAGTTTCTAATCCATCTCTGGTCTTTTTGTGATAACAGTCACAGGCATTTTAGGTTTACAGTTTTATCTAGTTTTAGGGCAGACTTTTATGATGAACATCAGTTTTCTAAGGTTTTTGAAAAGTGACATTACAACTCTAAATTATTCAATTTTTCATTTTGCCTAGTTTTTGCTCATTGTATTCACATTATTCCAAGCTCACTGCCTTTGATGCATTACTCCAAGCTCACTCCCTTTGATGCAAAAGGCGTAAATTCATGTAGTTTTCAAGGCAACATAATAGTCTATTAATAACAACGTTTTCTTACAACACTTAGCTTATGCAAGTATTAGAACATTAGTTATAATCTCTATTTTAACATTTTGCATTAGTATTTTCACTCTAATATTACTGCACTGTTTGACACTAGGTTTTTTTACAACAGTGTACATGTCTTCTAGAGTGCGTTCTCCATATCCTTGAAACAACCAGTAACTTGTTTAGCATGTAAAATAATATTAAGTTATTTAGTAAGCCAACAAAGAATGCACACAGGCAAAACTACACAAAGAAACTCAAAGATAGCTAAATATATTGTCATTCATTAGTGACATCAGTCAGTTTTATACTAAATAGCGTAAGTAGACAATACAATACTATGTTTCATTGCATTGTCATATGGCATGGACTCTATAGTACCAAGAAATGAGAGGAATAAGGGTTGTATCACATCCTTTTGATAAGAAATCTCATCAGCTCTGTCATCTCAGCAGATGTTACTAAGTGACATTCATGTTCAAATCAGTTCAGCTGTGAACATCAGATATTTACCATTTTCTATGCTAATAGCTGTTAGATTATCTAATTGCCTATGTAATGTCTAATCAATATTCTTTGATGACAAATGTACAATATTAATTTAGCCATATTATATCCATTGATTCACTTCCTAACTCTAGGGATTGTATCTGATTTGAACCTCTTAGCTATTGGTACATGTAATCAAGTTCTCTCACTTCCTATGAGGAAGTGAGGATTGTTTTATTGTTCTACCGTACTGTGGTTCTGTTCGGTAGTAGAGCAACAGCAATAAATTGCAGTCATTATTTCAATGAACACTACTAAAAATTAAAAGTAATAATTACATTAAAAAAACAAAGGATTTTTGTACTTATTGCACAATTTGTTAGCAAACTTTCTCAGATGGAGAGATAAAATACTGGTTAGTTATGGTACTTTGATTGTTTTTCTTTGTTTCAAGGGCATTATTACACACAAATTAGTTATTATTTCATGAGTTGAGTGTACTAACACTTTGATGAATACACTTTAATAGTACAACACTACGTCATGTAGATGCGCTGTAGACAAAACATACATAGTTGTGAATGGGAGTGATCTCTGTAATCATTTTAATATATGGATATGTCTTACAAGTTTATTTGTTGTTATTATAGAATTATGCCAAGACTGCTATGAATGAACTTCTTGGTATGTTTGGTTATGATGATGAAATAACAAGTGAATCTGTCAATAATCTGGAAATAAAAGTGCCATCAACAGAACCGGCAGCAACTAATCCAGTCATCAATACTGTACCATCTGTCACTGCTGTTACAACATCAAACACTGTTACACCATCTTTGCCATTGAATATACCTGAAGACACATCAGATGACACTCCAGTTATTGTTAAAGTTGAAGGTATGTACAAGCTGGAAATTTTTTACTTTTTTGCAACTGAGGCAATGATTGCTTTCATAGTTTTTTATTATTCGTACCTTTTAATTCAAAAATGGTTTGTGATTGGTTTCAAAATTTAGAATAAAGTTGAATGTACAAATAGCTTAAATACTACAGTATTGCAAAAAGACTTGAAGCCTCTTCAAGGGAAGCCTAATGTCTCCAATATAAATTATCACCATATGTTATCATCATTAGAGTACAAACATTAAATGTGTGCAACACTTTCCACTATATACTACAAAATAGTGTTAATTAAACAATAGAAACAATAGAATTAGCAGTATTTAGTGGTATTTATGTTGCACAGTTTTAGTGTTTGTACTCATTGATGAAGTATATGTTCAGTAAATACAGAGAGGCACGATGTCAAATGTTGAATTAATAACAGATATAAAACTTTCTATCATGTTGGATGTTGGTCCTTCACACAACAGTAATACATTTTTTTTTTTTTCATTAATTTCACCACTGTTTCAGTAAAAACACTAGCCAAGCTCGTACTAGTTAAATGCTAGTTATCTCTCCTTAAACACAGAGACAGACTGAGTGACTATTTAAATATTAAATTCTCTTATTAAATATATTGTACTGGATGATTCAATACACATTGAAGTCAGAATTCTTTGTTTTTTACTATAAAACACTCACTACAATATTTCTATACATTGATAATTGGTGTCTATACCTTATTGGTCTTAGCACTGTTTATAGTCACTCTCATTGAAATAAGTTTACTATTAGTGCTCTTATATCTTGTGAATGGTGTACGTATCCAGTGAATGCTATACAGTACACTGTATAGCATCCTCCTTTATTCAGTTATATTTGATTTTTGTTAGGCAATACAACCGTGAATGATATCATCAGGCAACAACAAAATGCAGATTCCAAGATCTCTAATGTAAGTATTCTTTTTTAAACAACAATGCTTTTTATTTGTTTTTCTCACTTTAACTGTCGCATAAATTGTTTATACTGACTCCTGGTGTCAATAAGCTTCAGAAATGTTTAAGAATTTATAAAGAATTGATCGAATAATGTTTGTACTTTTTTTATAAATGTATGGCTTTTTATCAATCAAGACAAAAAAACACACACCTATGTTCAACAAACGGAATACCAATGATATTACGTAGAATAGAAAAAGTAGATTTCTCTAATACTAAGATTAAAGTGTCTAAACAACATTGCTAATATCATATTTTACCAATGTTTGCTCTTCACTATTCTAAGACTGCAAAAAGTACTAATTAATGATTAATAAAAATTATAATTCATTAATAATAATTGATTCATGAATTATTAACATTCAAGAATAGTTATTCATGATTAATGATTGATAATAACTATTATTTATAATTATTGATAAAATACCATCATTAATAAGTATAATAAACATGTAAGCTATAATAAAAACCAAGTAGATGACTATTGAGATATATTTTTACCAGGAAACAACCCCTGTCCAGGTCACATCAACTAGTACCACAGCTGCCGTAACAATTCCCAATACAACCCAATCAACTCCAGTGAATATCACCATGACAACACAATCACAGACTGGTCAACCCACTTTGGTATGTTTGAACGACAGGTCTTCATTAACACTTTGTGATATACTGTTGCTTTGTGTAACTTTTGTAACAAGCATGTAGTTTTAGTTGCTTTCAAGAAGAGAAACTGGTACTAAGATCAAAACTGTTTGTATTACTAATAATTATTAGGGTGATTAATAGGGTAAATGATGGAAAAACTTGTCTGACAAACAGTTATTTGTCAGACAACGTTGAATAATAAGCAGTCCTGAGAATGCTCCAACTAATATTAAATGAGGTCCTTAATAGCGACAAAACAGTAGATTTTAGTTCCAAAGAGAACAAAAATCTTTTGTTTTGTACCCGAGATGAAGCTGCTTTGACATCACAAGGGGTCTACAGTATTCAAACATGTCCTCTCAAAGACACTTTGAACTTACTGTTGTTTAGTCAAAACACCATGATCTTTAATAGTGATGGTGAATGGCTAAAATGCAGTACATTAGCTGACAAAATTCATATTCCAGGCAGGGAATCAGAGGTTTCCATTGGGGATTATAGTGATAGACATAATAAATATTTATACAACATGAAGTGGACCCTAGTTTGTGTTGGAATTGATAATCAATATACAGTATTACCAGGAAATCTGTATCTGGTTTAAAACAGTTCAAGGTTGTTGCTCATGGTGTATAGAGATGTCTATGTCATAAATGTAAATTATACATTGTAAACGTCATGCATCTCGCCTTAATATCATTCTTAGCCCACGGAAAGAAAAGTCATTTAATATTGTAACGCTATTTTTAAAGTGTAATGTTGAATGGTTTTGTAAAATCACTGTCATCACCAACTGAAACCTCTGTTCTCTGCTCTTTAGGCCCCTCATTTTTATGCTGTCCCCCCTGCCATTCGGGGTGTGTACTGTGTGGTGGCAAACCTCCCCCTGGTAGTTAACCAGAATAAAAGTGCGATGACCTTCAAATTCTGGAATTGTATTACATGTTCAGAGTATTTCCTGGAAAAGCCTGAGGTGGTGTTTCGTGTACACTATCCTCATTTATTTACTGGTCAACCAGAATGGTTATATCAAGCGGCAGTGTGCCTTAAATGCTACCATCAACTTGTGACAACCGTAGTTCCACAAACTACCACTATACCAGCATCACTTGCACAAGCAACTTTTACTGTCATTGATTGTAAAATGGAGGACCAAGGAAAGGACAATAACACAACTACAGTCTACACAACAGCAAGTACAGTCTACACAACAGCAAGTATAAGTGATATTGATGTTGTTGTAGATGGCGTGAAAGAAAGAAAATCACCTGCAACTAATTGGAATCCACCTCTACTTGATGAGAACAAGGACAAAGCTATGACAGTTTCAACCAATGGAAATCATACTGATGTATCTAATGGAAATGATTCTTTTGTGAAAGATATAAATGGAAATCCCACTCAAACTATCCTAAAGGGAAATCATGTATCAATTAAGGCTCCAAAGGGGATTCCCTCTTCGCAGGTTACAGAGGGAAGTTATATCTCTATTGAATCTATTACTGGATATAATACTTCAAAAGGCAGCCCCAGGAGAGATTCCCCTATTGCAAATTCCCCCAAAACAGAACAGAAAATGGAAGACGTTTTACCAGACACAGAAAGCCAGGAAGAAAACTTTGTTGACAATGAAGAATCATACAAATGTTATGTGTGTAACTCATCAGTAAGTGTAACATCACAACATGGCAAACTACGGCGTAGTAAATTCCCATCTCTGTTCACTAATGTTCCTGATAATGTTGGTCATTTCAAGGTCTGCCAGGGATGTTTCGATCATCTTAACCACCAAAGAGAAGTCTACATAAATGCTGATATACCTGATGATAAGCGAGATTACCGCACTCATTTCAGCCAATCAGACGCTGCTTCAAAGTCATCGGATATTTGTTTTATTTGTGAAACGAGATTGGATGATAGAGATCCCAGTCGTCCAATATATCGATCAAGATATCCCTCCTTATTTCGGGGACTTCCTGGTCACATGATCCACGTACCAATATGTGACAAATGTTACAAAAAATTACAGAAAGTTAAGCTACGTTTTGACAGTAGTGAACATGATGAGGACACAAGGAATTATGTTCAGTTTGTAAACATGTGGAGAGCAAAGAGAGGGCTTGGAAAGCATCCAGTGTTTGTATGATAGCTTTACTCTTGGCCCCATTCCTAAGCAGAGAACATTGATTAAAAAAGGATTGGTACTGAATCTAATACCTCCATGTGGGACAGCTTCAAAAGCTAGATTCTGTGCATGCTCAATGTAACTCAAACAATCATGGGCTAATATGATTAGTTTGTTTTGAACAAAAATTATTTTAAAACAAAGATTGTAAAATTCTGTATGCTATAAGAGAATTTTTTTTACATTTTTAGTTTCTACTCTATATACACCAGAAGTTGTGTTTTGATTATGAGTTTCTAAAGTAAAAAAATGTATGCAAAGTTAACGTACAGTGCCTATTGACTGTACTTTGAAAAGATTGTTTGAGAGAATAGAGAAGCTACTGTTTCAGAAAAGTATCATGACCAATATTAGAGAGCTTTAAAGCTTAAAAGAATCGAGTTCACAGCAAATGGCAGAAAATGTAACCTTTTTTCATGGCTGCCAACACTAGTGTCATTTTGTGGAAAAAGTGATCTTTCATTTGATTTCCAACTGTTAAAAGCCAGGTTGATGGTAATTTGTACCTCTCTGCTGTTTGCTATGCCCTGATGTGCTGAACTCTCTGTCCAACCATGTAAAATTGTTGCTTTAAATTCAAAGCTTTTGATGATCAATACTCCATTTTCGAATTCAAAGCGAATAACCGCTGATTTACTTGACAGCAGATTCTATTACGCAAAGAACTTACCAAAGACAAAAGAAAGCACGAGAAAATGTTAATACAATAGAGCACTAAGAATCTACATTTTCTCCGAGTTGAGGCTAGCCCTGCTCATACGTTAGGTCTTATGGGAATACAGGGATAATCTCAACTCGGGGAAAATGCAAATTTTCAAGTCTATTGTAATAACGACGTTTTCTCGTGCTCTCTTTTGTGTTTGTAAGTTCTTTGTGCAAGAGAATCTGTTGTCAAATAAAGCAGCTGTTATTCCCTATGAATTCGAAACTGGAGTATTCCAGCACATGTTGTCCAACATGTGTAAATAATACCCACAATGCATTTTCTCCATTCTCTCTTACAACCTTTTTGCAAAAATATGTATCCGAATTCTTTGCATTTGAATCTATTTTTACTACGTTTGACAATGCATGTTGGAATCTGCAATGTTTGCCATTTGACTGTGTGTATCTACTGAGAAATACTGTTGTATACTTGGGCTTCCTGTGGCCTTGATTATGTAAATTACTAAGCCATGGTAAAGATATAGATAAAGTATTAAATATAGTTTAAGATATTTTATAAGAGTTTGAAAAGCTTATATTATTACACAGTAATATATGAATAAAGTGTTGAATAAGGACTGTCTGTCAGTCTTTATGAAAAAATCATTGAAAAATTGACCATGTTTGTTCTCAGTTTTATTAATATAGGGGTATCGAATGGTAAAATCCGAGCCTCAACAAGCCTATGAGCCCCTCGTTTTCAAATCAGAGATATTTCAGCAATAGCGCGCTTCCAAGCCAAAAGCTATTTTAAATCTGAGCTTGTTTCTTTCAATGCAAACTTGCGAGTCTTGGGAATTTTTTGGTGAGATTTGCGATTTCTGAGGCATCATTTTATACCCCTTAATATCCTCTTGCTTTCATGCAAAGTCATGGCCACCTTTAAAGAAAGGGCTGAGAATTGTGAAAAAAGTATTGACTATTGTGCAATGTTTCCTTACAAAAAGTAAAATAGAAATCCATGTTATTATAATCAGGGAAGCAAGACGATTACTGGATATACAAAACCTACTGCTGCCCTGAGTAGTCCAGTCAATACTCCAGCAGTAGCCAGCAGTAATACAGCATCAACAAGCTTGTCTATGTTCCTGAAGAGCACTGTGCAGGTAATGTATTATTTCTAAATTCATAAAGCTGTGCTAAATCTTAAGCATGCTCAAGAGCAACTTGCTAAAAATTTGAGAATTCAGTTGTACATGTACCAGCATAACTAACCTATGATAGTGGTGAATAATTATTGCGCAGGCTTGTTTGCTAACCTTAAACCTTAAACTAAATTATTGTGCAGACTTGATGAAGTAAATTACTTCATCAAGTCTGCACAATAATTTAATGTATTTTACAGAGCCAAGCTGTTCGTTCATGTACTTGGTGCAAGAAAAACACTGTCCTTAAGAACTTTACATTTCGTGATGGCACAAGGATCCTGGAATGTCGTAATATTTGTTCTCAAGATTGTTTTGAAATGGCTGCTTTGAGCATCGATCTGAACAATGATAACATTAAGAGCATTCAGTGGAGAATAAGGCAGCTACGTGGCCGTAAACCATCACCAGCCAGTAAGTATGACTTGGACACTACTCAGATTGTACCATGACACTTCATAAAAGTCTTTTCTTTATAGAACAAAATGACAAACCAAGTCAGGTCAAGAAGTCAGAATCCACTGTCCCAGTTGTTAGTAGTAGACCAGCAAGAAAAGCAAAACCAGGTATTGACCACATTGTATGGAAAAGCAATTCCAGGCAGAAAGGATTTCAATGTTGATTGTTGGATCTTCCTATGGGAATCAGAATCTGTTTTCTGGTTAGATCTCTTCATAATGCAGCGCTATAGCTTCTGATCCCTAGTTTTGAGTGTTTGAATTGCATGATTTGTGTCTCATGAATGCTCTTAGCAACTTATTTATTGTTGGAATTGTTTAGTTGGAAGTCAAGTAGCAAGACCATTATTCAACTGGGAAGGATACCTGAAGGAGTGCCGTGCCAAGGGTGCTGCTTCATCATATTTCAAACAGGTAAGAAGCGCTAAAAGATATTTGACAAGATATATCTGATCAGCAGAGGAGGGTCTGAGATATTTGTTCAGCGGAGGAGCCTTAAGACCGATTTAGACGGTACAACTTTTCCCTACAACTATCGCATGGGACCTGCGTAAGTCATCCTTTCGACATGGCTACAACTGTCGTGAGGCTATTAACCAATTGTTTAAAATCCCTACGACAGTTGTAGTCATGTCGTAAGGATGACTTACGCAGGTTGCAAGTGAAATTTAATGATAGAGCACATTCAAACTCAGTGATTAAAACATGCAAGCAACTTGTGAAAAGCATGACCTTGAGGCAAGAAATACATGCACATATAGATGTTGTCGTCTTGTAGTATTTGTAGTTTATAAAGTCGGTTTTCTATGTTTAGTCTTCCACTCCACCATACAATGGTTTCAGACCAGGAATGAAACTAGAGGTAGCTGATCCAAGAGTCATAGAGTCAACTTGTCTTGCTACAGTTGTGGGAAGCATTGGTCCTAGGATAAGGTAGGGGTCAGTCTTCTTATCTCCATCTTGAAGGTTGCCTTTCCTTGTATCATAGAAAGATGACTAGTGGGCAAGGCAATCAATCACATGTTCAGTTAGGGCTGGTTCACACTCTGACATAAGCAGAAACTGAAGCAGAAGCTTGTTCACACTTGACAGAAGCATGTTCTTCTGCTTATGATGTCACAGTTCACACTCATAATATTTCAACATAAGCAGAAACACAAGCAGAAGAAAATGAACAAGTTTTTATTTTCATCTGCTTCTGTCTCTGCTTCTGTTTTCCCGGTTCACACATACAAACTACACTTCTTCTGCTTCTGCTTCTGCTTATGTCACAGTGTGAACTGGCCCTTACCTTTGACACAGTGAAAGTTCTATAAAACTACTGTAACCTATCACAGTATATCACTATCAATAATAATATCATTTTGATTTGATTTTAGGTTCAGTTTTGATGGAACAGACAAAACTAATGATATTTGGCACATGGTTGACTCCGCTGATATTCACCCTGTGGGGTGGTCTGAGGCAAATAATTGCCAGCTACAGGCCCCATTAGGTAAGCTTTCTCAAGACTAATAACAGTCATATAGTACTATTAAATGTAAATTTAGTACAGTAATTTAGTCTGGGGGAGTCTGGGGTTGATGATTGTCAGTTACAGCCCCCAATAAGAAAGAATGAGAATTTACTATGTTTTATGTTGTCTAATACTGCTTAGTTCATGCTTTTGTAGGCCCCAATTAGTTTTCCTATGCAGGGTAGTCCAAGGCTGATTATTTCATGGTTTTGTAGCGCCCGATTAGTAAGAAAGATAATTTCCTATGCGGGGTAGTCTAAGGATTATTGTCTTGTAGGTTTTACAAGAGATCCAGGTACTTATCAGAAGTTTGTTGCGACGACATTGACCACTGTATCACCAGAAATGATAGCTCCTCCTCGTCTCTTCAAAAAGGTAGGTTTATTAACCTTTTATTAGCCACATGAAAGTGATCAGTGTGAATCACAAAGCCATTACCAACAAAAATATTTCAAACATTTTGCCAATTCCAGTGGCTCTATCTGTAATCAGTTTAACGACATGCTAAAACGTATATCAAAGATTAATATGGGGAAATATTACTTCTGACATGACACTCGACATTCACACTTTAAGACAATATCTTTGCACAGGATCCAGCCGCTCCTAGCAAGAATTTATTCAAGACTGGAATGAAACTAGAAGCTGTTGACCCTAAAAACCAGGCGTTGGTGTGTGTTGCTACTGTTGGGGATGTAGATGGGGACAAGATTCGCATTGACTTTGATGGCTACCTGGGATCAGATTATTGGTGTGGTTATGACTCAAGAAATATCTTCCCTGTTGGCTGGTGCATCCTAAATGGTCATCCTTTGCAACCCCCAGGTATGTACACCTAATTGAAGAAACGTTGTCGGGTCCAAAAAGGTCAAATCATAGAAGCTAAGACCGAAAGGGTACTTTGGAAGACAAACAATTTGGCTAATTTCATAACAAACTGCTCTCCAGCATAAAAGACTATCATGCTGTTAATCTTACTAGCTCTACTTGCTTAGTGTACACCGTATATGCAAATGTAATCCCAATTCAAAATCCCTTTCAGTCTTAGCTTCTATGATGTGACCTTTTCGAACACGACTACGTTTTTTCAATTAGGTGTATACAGTTAATTCAAGTAAGGTTGACACATGTAAAAGGAGCATTTTCAAGTGTATTGTGGGATTTAAGAGAAGTGCATTTGTGACAGTTGTTTTATTTAATGTCAATGACAGGAAAGAAGAAGCGACCAATCGCCCCTCCAAGTAACAGGTATTATGTGTGAGTTATCATGTGAGCGTTGCCTCTTGCTTGCTTCCTTTACACTATGCTTAACATTATCCTTATGAAAATAGAACCAAGAAAGATGAGGAACCTCCAACGAAAAAACACAGAACTCAAACAAATGTCACTTCACCTACTAGAAAAACATCAAGCTCAAGCTCTTCAACACAAGCTTTTATTCCTGCTTCTGAACTTTACAAGTCACAGCCTACAGTGTCGCTTTACGTAAACCATGGCTGTCTGACAGGACGGTACTTGAATAAATCCAAAGTTGCCAAATTAAAGCAGAAGTGGTTTGGAAAATGCAGTGAAATCATTCAACCACTCATACAAGGACTTGTTAACTGTGCACATGACCAGAAAACAGTGTTTGGTTTTCTAAAACCAGGAACTGGCAAGACCAAAATCACTGCACGTGGCGAGGGCTTTGAGACGTTGTCATGTTCTTTACAAAATATCGACCGTGTTAAGATCTTTTGGAGAGTTTTGGAGAAGTTTTTGGAGAATCTACAGTGCTGTGAAAACTTGATATCCAGTAACAAGGTTCAAAGTTCCTGCAAGAAGTGTCGTGGCAAATCAGGTAAATATGAGAATTTCTACCTGACACTTCTAGACCTTTGCAAGTGAATGAAATGGTCATGGTTTTACGTTTTTTTTCTGGGTTATACTTATAAATGTTGAAAAAATATTTCAAAATTGATAAATTTGTCTTATTTGTTTTCTATTGTTTCAATAGGTTTTAGTTCTTCCTCAAAACAAGCAGTAGAAACCAACAAACATAGAAACAGTGATAACGGTAAAATTAAGATAGGTTATATTGTATTCTGTCAATATCCCGTATGTTGCCTTGCTCTTATACACCTAGTTCAAAAAGGGTTGTCGGATAAAATGGCGGATGTCAATTGAATTGTCGCTGGCGATTGCACGACCCAAAGTAGCCATGGGTTTTTCTAACCGCCGATTTTTACTGTAAGATGGTCTGTGGTAAACATTGGCTCTATTTAGTTTCTATTTCTACGTAAGGTGAATCCAATAAGTGAAATTTTGTTTATCAAAACAGTGTAACCATAGTCCCTTTCGGTCATGCATTCTCTCTTTGACAATTGCCGTTCGCCGTTCTCCTTGGCAACGTTTCAGTTGAAATAAAGTGTGTGTCATTGTTAGATATGGGTTGAAATTAAGTCATACATCATGCAACTTGTTGTGCACAACTTTAAATGTAAGATCATCGTAATGTCTTGTCGTGGGATTTTGAGCCTCTGTTCACAAGACAACTGTAGGCTGTACGATTCTTTCATAGATTCTTCTACAATACTATTCTGTCTTGTACATCAAGTCACACACAACAAGTCACAGCATGTATATTCATTTCAGATGTCAGCTCAAACCAAGTCTGCTCTACATCTCCTGTGAAGACTTGGTCAGTTGATGAAGTTATCAAGTACATCGAGAGCACTGAATTGGCAGATCATGTGACCCTCTTTAGAGTTCATGTAAGTACCCATGATCCTTTATGCCTACTATCTGTTTGAAGTTTTGGGTTACCTGTGTAATATCTATTATCAAAGCTATATATCTAAATTGCTTTCTTGTTTATTAGAATTGAATATTCTCTGACTATTTTGATCTAACTCGCCTTTGTTACTCATTAGCCGCCTGCGTAGCGGCTCTAGGGGAGGGGGGAAGGGGAAAAACGGAAGGGGAGGGGGGTGGTGTAGGCGCTATGCAGCCTAGTTACTGATTTATCTTCCATTTGTAGGAAATTGACGGAAGAGCACTTCTTCTGCTGAACCGTGACATGATCATGTCCTACATGGGGCTCAAACTTGGTCCAGCAATAAAGCTGCTAAGTATCGTTGATGATTTGAAACCAGAAGAGATCGTAGTTGACTAGTGCTTTATGTGCCACTAAAACATTGAATGTCGTATTTTTTTATTTATACATACTTTCTGTGAACATTTTAGTAAATACAGCTGTGGATTTAGGAGTTACAAACGGTATTGTTTTCATCATCTTATAACACAAGCTGTTTGTCATGTGTAATCGTTAAAGCGAACCCCCTGCCCCACCCATCATGCAATCTGTGGTGTTCTACGCCACCCTTGATCAAGCTATATTAAATGTATAAAACTCCTTTGACTTTTCTGTTAGGCACGCCCCTTTTCTTTGAAAGAGCTCTGTATTCTCGTTCTTCAATCTTTTGGAGTGATCTAAGAAATCTTGTAACTTCTTATTCGAACTCCTTCAGGCTAATTTAGACATTTACTCGTCAGGATACCTTAGATGTTGTATATCTCACCTTTGATCCACAACTGCTAGATAAATACACTTGCGTTACTTCATGAAGAAACAATAAACGAGAACTCTACACATCAAACCGATGTTTATTTTTATTGCATGGAAACCTAATATACACTACAGACAGAACTAAAAATTGCTTTATGTTTACTTCATGAGGACTGTTTAGATAACTCATCACCTCATTGCTTCTCCCCAAGATAGTAACGTGAAAACTGAAATTTTTATTTTTGTTAAGTAAGTTTGTTGCCCATATCTAATACCCTCCCATAGCCAAAGTACTACAGCTTTTTTCGTTGTAGATTCTGCGTTATACTTTATTGCATTTTGACTTGAATTTTTCGAGTTAAGTGATCGTACTGTCTTTGATAGAAGGGTTTTTGCACCATTTCATGCGTACGTCTTCTCTGTGATGTATCTCGGTAATATTTTACCAGGTTTTAAACCTGTTTTGAGTCTTATCCAGCAAGATCTAAAGCCAGTAAAACAGGTTTCAAGTTATTTTTTTGACTGACACGTTTCAACGTTTGTTTGAAGCCAGTTTAACTGGTCTTGAACTTGCTAAACGGGGTTTGGCCTGAAGGCCAAGAGTAAGCATCATTTGGATTTGTTAGGCAAGTTTCAGCTTATAGTAATCCACGAGTGGTTGTCGCACATTAAGATAAATCTTTCTCACTCACTGACTTGATGAAAGTACCAACTCTTGAAAAGACATGAAGCTCAGCCCTGACGGAATCCCTTGTGTTTTTTCCTGGATGCATGAATATAACGTAAAGCTTGGGGAAGAAAATACATCCTAGAACACCATATCCACTGACCAGAGACGTTGCACACGATACCACAGCTACGTACCAACCTTGGAGCGCATAGCCTACTGGAAAGTATGCAATCCATGACAGAAGGATGATATACATGGAGAAAGCGATGTACTTGGCTTCGTTGAAGTTTCCTGGTAAATTTCTGGCCCTGAAGGAATAGAAGGTTGACCAAAGCGCGATTACTATCATGTAACAGAGCATACACATCATCATTACTTTGCCACTTTTCCGCTTGAAATCTTCACAGGACAAGAAGATGTAGCCATCTTGGGTCACAGAAATATGGAGGTTGGGGGGATCGATGGCAACCCAGCAGAAAGCCAGTACAATATCAATGGCGAACAGCACGCCGAGCGAAAACAGCTGTCGAGAAGCAGTTTTCACAAGTTTTTTAATGAAATTCTTTTCGGTATTCATCTGGAATGCATGGACAATACGCACTGTCTTGAGCCCAAGGATGGAACAACTGACGGTGAAGATGATATAACGAAGAGGCTGGAGTGTCGCGCAGATAACGTCTGTGGGTTCAGCGATGTAAAGGAATGACAACATGAAGCAAGATGCTGTGGCAAGAAGAAGAAGAAAGCACATCTCAGGGCTGCTTGCTTTTACTAGTGGGGTGGACTTGTACTTTATCAGAACTACTAGGACTACCAAACACAAAAACACACCTAATAAACTGAAAATTATCAACAGCATTGAACTGACATCACGCCATTTCACGTTGATTAATGGTAGGTCGACGCATGCTGTGCGCTCGCTGTTAGAATACTGGGTCCAAGGGCATTTACTACAGTTCATTTGTCCTGATTCCTTTGTGATCCATCCCTCAGCGCAACCAATGCATTCCCAACAAAAGGCCGTTGTTATGGCCTTACGTTTGCCGGGACGACATTCCTCTCGACATTCCGATGGTCCTGGGTCCTTGCGTCCATTCCAGGTAATCAAATCCGAGTTCAATGTTAGAGACCTATTGGCTTTTTTCCCCCATGATCCAATGTTTGTTTTCAAAGGTACTTTAGTGAAGTTGCCATGCGTCTCGTTAACGTTGAAATAAACGATATCAAAGAGCGCATCCGTAGGGTCGCCATTTTCATCAAATTCAATCATTCCCGTCAGTCCTTTGAAACGCGTTTTACGAAGATATACATACAAATCATCGGAATTGACTCGGGAGATCGGACCCGAAGGGCATCGTCCACCTTTCAGTAATCCTTGTGGGTATTTACATTTCTCAATAGCGTCTAGAGCATGCGCTAAAGCATAAACAGCGTCAACAACAAATGGGATATAATCATTGCATAGTTTCATCAAGAAATCTCCCTTGACTCGAACATCACGTGCACAATCTTTAGGCTGACATCCAAACTCTTCTTTCCAAAGCTCTTCCCACCAAGGATTTCCAATGGATGTCTTGGGCGTAAAACGAAGGATATGTTTTCGAAATGGCTCATAAACGCGTCGACGAGGAAGAACACCGATATAATTCCCTCTAGAAATGATGTTGGCTCCGAGATGTTCGGCACTTTGCATTGAGATTGATTCGCTCATGATCCATGTTCGTTCCACGACGTTCTGTCTTAGTGCTTCTTGAAGGACGGCTTTGCCTGTAGCGTGAAGCATCCACAATATGATAACTCTCACAGTTGCTCGTTCTTTCAGTTTGTACACAATTGAAGGAATTCGATCATATTGGCTTTGAAGAACAAACTCACTTATCCCAACAACAAAGGACTGTCTTTTACGCGATTCACGCTGTAAAGCAAGTACACCACTCCTTCCGTACGAGTCGTCCTCGGCGATGGCAGCAACGTACCGCCACCCGAAATGCTCAATGATATCAGATATTGCCTTGGCTTGGTTTCCATCAGCTGGTATAGTACGTAAGAACGTACGATGGAACTTGGAACTGAGCTGTTCCGAGGTGGCCAAAGATCCAATGATAGGCAGACCGACGGCTTGGAGAATAGTAGACACTGATAATGCTGTCTCGGAGACAAGACCTCCTATTACCGCGACCACGGGGTGAGATCTATTTGAGAGCGACGCTTGCCTATTATGAAGAGCTAACTTGTAGACGTTTTTAACACCAAGCACTGGGCTTTGACAACAGTCCATGATAACATAGCCAAGTTTAAGCCCTGGCAAAATTGAATCGTCTTCGTTTATTCTTTGAACAGCAAATTTCATCGCTTCGGCGAGTCCAAGGGCAGGAACATCGAATTGTCCACATTGATCAACTCCTTTTCGTTGATGAAGAGACATTAATGCTCCTATATTCACATCCCCCAATATACGTTCCTCATGACTTGAGCAAATCTTTAAAACTGCGATGAAAATCAGGCAAAACATAGCCGTCCAAAGCGAAAAGCTGCGTTTCTGGGTTCCGACTTTCAATCAAGCAAGTTTTTGCTTCCTATGAATATTATTGTGTGTGCCAGGAAACGTTGTACAATGGTTTTAACGAAGCCGATCGAAAGATATTACGTCAAGCTTACCAAATAGAATACATAATTTCTCATTGTGGTGTCTTGAAAATATGTGTTAAATCACTAAACCAATCGGTTGAAGTCTCTCTATATCTACTGAAGTGACAATACCATGACAAGTCTTCGTCCTAATCCTAGGAAAATTTTCCAGACATTAATTAAACGGAATCCGACCTCACTAATTCAGTTCTGATTTTAGTCCAAAAAAAATAAATAAAAAGCAACTAAATGATATGGTTTAATTGCAGCACGAAAAACAAAGTTCTTGTCCAGATTTCAATGTCAAAGAGTAGTACGTGAAGTTTGATAGTTCTTCTTTTTTGAAATCTCTTTCCCGTTACTTGGTATGGTGTTTTTGTCGGTGTCTATAATTTAAGCAATTACAGGCCAATCTATCACTATAGAAATTCAGGAACCATTTCTTTGAAGAAGACTTAATTAATAAGTGCCTTGAGTTCAGTCATTTAAAAATTAATGAAAGTTTCACAATTGACTCCCTATCATAGTCGGAGCAATTATCGGAACACACATCCGATTCATCTTCAAATGTACGTGCTAAGAGTTGAAAACTAAAATGTAGGGTCACCACACTAATTTCCAGTAATCACCCAAGTGTTCTGCATCTTTGGCGTCATCAGGAAATAGAGAAATCTTTGATAATTGTTGACGTCAGTGATCTTCCTCTTCGTCGTCACTAAAATATGAACTTTGAAATATACGACGCTTTTTTACTCCGCTTGTTGACGGATCATCAGCTGATTTTTGTTCCGACTCGTGGGCAAGACGTGCACATTCTTCAATGGCTGCGCCGAGGCTCCACTCTGAAGGGTCTTCACCTTGGTCCTCTTCTTCGTCTTCTTCTTCTTCTTCTTCCTCTCTGTTTGTTAAACATAAGAACTGAATTGAAGACAGAGCTTGAAATGTTTGTAATAGCTTCTGACTGTATTCTGTGCCTCATAACAGAATGGATGGGCGAATAAATGGAAATAAAAATATAGATGGATGAATGAGACGACTGATAAAAAAAAAACAAGTTAATAATATCCAAGGAATTCTGTTACAAAGGAACATCGACTTTTTGAGTCAAAGTGATTTTCGTATTTTGTCGTTTTTTTATGAACGTGAAACATCAGAAAATATCTTATTTTAACACCATTCAAATGTTAAATTTCCCGATATCTCCCGGTGTTCGGGGGACGACGGTGCATTTATTCCAAAACAAAAAACAAAAAAAATCTAACGGCTAATGAGGGAAGCTGTAACTCCCACTCAACACAACCTATAAGGACAAAAATAGAACTCACTCCTGCTGTTTTCGTTTCCTTTTCTTTAGTTTCTTTGGAGGTCTTTCTCTATCACCAAGGACGTTTTTAGGGCATTCATAGCTTAGATGGCCACTGTCCTGGGATGGTAAAAAGAGGTTTGGTTTTATAGCAGGCTCATTAAAGTCTATTAATTTTATCCCTTATTTGGGCTTCCTGTGTTCATTGACAACACAGGATGCCCAAGCAGCAAAAATTCACAAGTGAGATTTGGAGCAATGATCTACTATTAGAAAAAAAGTCTACCATTACTCCTACCATCATCTTAGGGTTCATTACAATCATCTTTATAATCATCATTCCTGACATTTTTGTCAATATCCATACTTTCATACAATCTTATCATTAATCAGACCAATCATTATAACCACAATTATTAGTAACATTATGTCATTATTACATTTATTATTATTATCATTACATTTATTATTATTATCGTTGCTTTTATCATCATCATCATCACTGTCATTATAATCGTCATTATTACTTTTCACTGATTCTCACTTCTAGTGAGTAAAAAAGGACAGAAAAGGAGACAAAGGGGGTGAAGGATTTTCATATTTTTTGATATTCTCTCCTTCACTACTTCTGCTTTAACTAATTCTCACATGATTGACTATAGCTGTTTTCCATTTAACTTACCCCACATTCATAACATCGTGTTTTGTCTGGGTATTCCTTCCGCCTTATGAATTCTGTAGTCCGACCATTATCCTTTGCAATACAACATTTTATCGTACGACCGAACATCTTGCAAATAAAAACATTGGATAAATTAAGTGAATAAAACTAAATCTAATAGACCTAATCAGCTAACACGTTGCTATGTACGTTACCACCCAATTCAAATCATGTGAACTTTTGTTTCTAAGAATTCCACTGTGAAATGAAAATACAACAAATAATGAAACTTACTTCTGGGTGGTTTGAAATTGTTGGAAACTTTTATAGCAAAGTGTTAGCCGATTAGGTCTATTGAAACTGTAGCACATCAATTGGTTTTAAAAACAAAAATTACTTTACAAACCTGTTTTTGATTGACACCCTGAACAGCCTCGTAGGCTGATTGCTTGTCCAAGAATAAAATGAATGCTACACCTTTACTCTCTCTTGTGACTTTATCCTTCATGACTGTCACTCTATAAGATATGATGATTCATGCAGAAACATAGTAAGTACGCTAGAAATGAAATAACAAAAATAGGAAATGGTGGGAACTAGCGGTAAACTAGTGTGAGCTGCGTCGGTGTTTCTAMAGAAACAGTTRTGTAAAAAGRTARATTTAACACCGTAAAAAAGTATGTGGAATAACTTACTGACCTTTACTCCGACGAAGGATTAACATCCAAAACGTCAGTAAGTTATTCCACATACTTTTTTACGGTGTTAAATTTATCTTTTTACTTAAAAAACTCATACATAATTAATGAGCTACTAGGCCAATATGAGCCTAATTGGCCAAAATGAGCCTATTTGGTCACATGCATGGACCTTTATATCTGATAAAACACTCCTTATTAGTATTCTTTATATAAAGAATACTAATAAGGGTGACCTTTATCAGATATAAAGGTCCATGACCCTAGCAAAGGTCTCAGGTTTGAAACCTGATCATTGACCAATGCAGGATGTCAACCGATTTCAGTGAACAGCCAAGAGCGCTTCTATTTTACTTTATGCGTATTCAATGTGGGATGACAAGAGTGCTTTGTAAAGTGATTCGCGCATGATCAGTTTGCCCCATTTATCTCTGAACATATTTTTACGGCAATTTCTCCAAGAATTTTAACGGATTTTAGTTTCAAATTAGTGTTGGAGTTTTTTAAGCCGTTTAAAACACTCGAGATCGTGTTTTAACACTCTCTCTCGTGTTTTAAACTATACATAAAAAATAGGAAATATTCAGTTTTATTTACACCTTATGTGATCAATAATCGCCCATCCCAACCCTTCCCCTTGACAATCTGAGTTGCGTACATGCAGCATTCATTATCAATCATTCTTTGGGAATTAAAAAAGTGGAAAGTAGGACATTGTGAACAGCCAATCACAACATCCTTCACCAGGCTCTCTATATTGTGAGGCTTTTGATAAGACTTACTTGACAACTTTTCCATATCTACTGAAAACCTGCAACAGATAACATAGCATTAAACAACTGAAAGAACAGGTAGCATTATAATTGACAATCTCTACCTTGTGCAAATCACTGTTAGTCAACGAATAGGGTAGGTTGCCTACATAGATTGTAGATTTACTTGGTGCTAACCCACCACTCATGACAACAGGAAAGCTTCAAAACCAAAAAATTACAACTACGATTTCAAAAATAATTTTGAAAACACTCAAACATTATGTCACATTCCCCTGTCAACTAACAAATGAACGTTTTTAACTTTTTGAAACTTCTAATATGATAACTTTTTAAAAAGACTATAAAAACTAACTTGTTTTTCTAGAACACAAAGTTTTCGATCAATAATCATTCGCTAAAAGTCGAAGTATTCACGTTTGGTATCGGGAACGTTTTCATTGGCCAGCTTTCCTTCGGGTAACACTTTTGTTCCCCGAAGGATTACCGAGTTGTTGCCGTATCGTGACAAGCGCGGTGGCTTAGCATCAAAATATTCTCGCGTGAACCTCGTGTTGTTAACGTGCAGTATTGGCACAGCTCTTAGGATGATAATTGCTGCTCGTAGACGCTAGATAAATGACTCACTTCCAGTCATTGCACTGGGAATATCGTCTTTTATATGTATAGCCTCGTTTTTCTGTTAATATTTCAGATAAGGTTTCTTTCAGCATTCAGCTCGGGAAATTTTCTCTATGAAAATCGATTGGCCACATTTCCAAAGCCCGATTTCAACACATCGTTTATACTACGGTCACGTAAGGGAGCGAAGTCTTTCAAAGAAATTCATCATGGTTTGGGAGTAGAGCCGTTTTACGTTCGTGTTTATGCAACACCAAAATCTGGACCAAACAAAGGATTTGTCTTCGAAGGAGTTGGTGTGAATCATGTCGATGCAAAGTATACTTCGTATGGTGGAGTTATTTTTGCTTATAACTCTGAATATATAAGAATTTGGGCTCCAAATAATCGTAGTGGATATATTATCTTTGTTAAGGATGGATGGGGCAGAGAGAAAAACGCGCAACAAACTAGTAAAGCTATTGTTTTCGTTCAAATGTGGAAGTCGGGCCCGGAGCCAAACTTCGAAATAGACACAGTAATAGGAAATGGAACAAGTTCAGGAAGCTTTAAGGAGATACGTCACAATTTGAGGCAAATTCCTGACAGAGTATTGGTGAGAGTTTCACCAGAAAATCCAGTAAACAGTGCCAGTAATCCTAATGGTGGCTATTGGTTCCATGCTTCTGGTACTTCGCAAAATTCTTACAAAAACACCAGCTACGGTGGAGTTATTTTTGCATACAATGTGAGATCCATTCACCTGTGGGCACCAAACCAAAATTTGAAATACACTGGGTGTATTTTGATTGACAATGGGTGGGGTGATGGCAGGTATAACCAGCGAGAAAGTAGGTGTCGAGTTCATATTAAAGTTTGGGTAAATGCATTTCCTCTACCATCATATCAGACTGACTGGTTCAGTATTCAGGCACAGACAGTTAACTCCTTCAAAACTATAAAACATAATTTAAACATGGTACCATCGTATGTCCTGGTACAAACTAGACCATTGACTGGCATGAATTATCACTTTGTTTTTGAGGCACAGGGTTCTGTCCAGTCAGATGACAACAGCAATGATTATGGTGGAATCATATTCGCATATGATAAAGATCATATCCGTCTTTGGGCACCATCCAAAAATGATGGCACAAAAAAAGGTTATGGTGTCCTTGTAAAGAAAGGTTGGGGTGATGATAAATTTTTACAGTCTGGAGACACTAAAATTGAGGTTCGAATTAAACTATATGGCAGTAAATGTTCCCACAATTCTGAAGCATGTTTTCCAAGTAATAGTTGTGTTAAAACTCAGTATAACACATATACATGGGTGACATCATCATGGAGTAAATGTTCCAGTATCTGCAACAAAGGTCAAAAGGATCGACGGAGTACAGGTACGTTATGCAATATCATTATAGTTTGTTCTTTCAAGAAAACAATCAATTGAAATTAAATAATTTTTGCTAAGCAACAGCTGGGTCTGATTGTTTACAATTTTTTTTCATATTATGGATATCTTATGCCAAATTATTCCCCTAAAACAGCTACTTTTAAAATTGGTACTATGTACTACTATATGTATTTATAAGAACCAACAGTGAAAAATTATTTTCATTAAAAGTGTATTTTTTCTGTTTATTTATATTATATAAATGTGATTTATATTGCTAAAACTTTAACAATTCTTTATTTTTGCATAACTATTTATATTTAGTTATGGTCTTATACTATAATACATTGCATGATAAAATATCAGCTTCCTTTTATATTTATGATACATTTGTATTTACACAGCAAATCAAAACAAACCCTTGTTGTAAATAATTCATTGAGAAATCCTTGTGACTAGTATTTCATTTCAAGCATGAAGTGTTTTCATATTAACTTGCTAATTCATTTTGCAGTAAAAAACAATTCTTAGCGTTATTTCAGAAACCATTTTTTGATATTATCACACTTATATTGGCCCTTGTATTACCAATTGTCAAATGAATTGCTCTTAAGACATTTTTCTTTATTGTATTTATTAACCTACCTGTTTTCCACCTTAACCTCATAAATAAAACAATTTTGTATCACGTCTTAAAAAAGGTGGTTATTGTGATAATTAGTTGTGTTTTGTTGTTAGCAAATGAATGACTTTAACCTTGGCTAACAATTTCCTTCCTTCACTAACTCACAAGGATGATCCCAATAATACAATCTCTAAAAAAACAATCAATTTACTTATTTTTTACCAAAAGAACAATACTTTGCTGTCAAAGATTTGAAATCCTTTTAAGTCCCAACATGTGGTCTTAATCAAACAACTATTCAAATTAGCATCTGACAGATGTAGTTAGTGAAGCGTGGCATATGGCTTTACTCCAAGGATGACAGACAATTTAAGTTCTGAATAATGTTCTTTTTAGTCATCTGTCAAATAAGATAAAGAATATTTATTTTTCTTTGTTAAATGCAGACTGAAAATCAACATTCACCAATTAAGAAAATACTTTTATTTATTTCTAAGCAATTAATATCATGACATAATTATGCTTTTGTTAAATTATGGTTTTCTGTTTGCATCTTTTTTTATTGGTAGGCAAATCAGCAAAATAAACACATTAAGTAGATTTTTTGGTGAATTGAAAATAAACTCTTAATATTTAGATAATTTTTAGCTGTAAAAAATATCTAAAATATTAATTTTATTACTGAAATAAAAATATCAAATAGCAAACTATTGATTATAATAACCATTTCTATTACAGTTTGATCAGTTTTTTCAATAATTGGTTTATTGCTAAGTATTCATCCAAGTTCGATTCCTCCAGGACAGTGATATCTAATGTGCTTACATTATTTGTATTAATATAGGTTGTCTTGTGAAATCCAAAGGAAAGATAGCCAGTGGGTCATGTGACTTTGAGAAAGATTTCTGTCACTGGACTTCGACAGGTCTAACCATTAGAAACATGATATGGAAACGGACAAACACCAGCACCCCGACACCAAAGACTGGTCCATTGTGGGGACATCCTAAAGGGTCCTTTTATGCCTATACCTACTCCAAAGGTGTATTTCCACATGGGGAAGGTAAGAAAACAAAAATTAAATATATAAATTTTTATTGATAATAAGTGATAACTGACTGAGTGATGGCTTAATTGAAATAAATGGACAGTGAAATGAAATGAAAGATGAATTAATGAATGGATGGATGGATGGCTAAATACTCAATTGGAAGAATGAAAAAGGGAATAAACAGATGTTTGAATGGATAGATAAAATATTGTATGCATAATTTAATGTATCATGAAAGGAAAATGGTAAACGGAATAATACAGAGATAATTGATAGAGAAGTGAAAGGACAGTGAGATATGTGAATGGACATTATTAACACTCTCTTCATAATAACATAATCTTCTCCCTCTCAGGTGTGCTTAAAAGCCCCAACATCCAGGGAGCAAGAAGATGTCATCTGACATTCTTCTGGAATATGTATGGTGATGATATAGGAGAACTGAATGTAGAAGTGAATGAAGACTGGAGTAACTCAGAGAAAGGCTGGAAGAACACTGGTGAGTGAAACAATCATGGCATCATAATACAGAATAATCTTCTGTTCCTTATTCAAGAAGACGACTCCTTTCTCAGTGGGGATAGGAAACAGTCACTGGGATCCTGAGAGATTTGATGATGATGTTGATTGTAGTGATGATGATGATGATGGTGATGATAAAAGTGATGATGACGATGGCTATAATAACAATATTTGTTTTGATAAAGGCTGGAGTATGATTGGTTCTCATGGCCGTGCTTACTGGAGATCAGCGTACATCAATCTTGAGCGCTACAGTAGAATCTATCATATACGTTTCCGTCACGTCTTACCAGAGAAGCCATCGTACTGCAAGGATCGATGTTATCAGTGCAAAGAATGCGAGATATGTAAAGAAGATTCCTGTTTGTATGGCAATGTAGCCATCGATGACATTGAGCTGTGGTGTGAGGCATCCTATAATATTACCAGTAATGCAGAATGCAAGGCGCGCACCGGTTACTTGGCAGGTTGTGATCAGCCTAGTGTTATAAGCCTTCGACACTTAAGAGGTATTTATTGTTGATTATGGCAACTTGGCATTAACAGAGTGTATTTGTATTTGTAATGTTAACAATAATAATATTATATAATAATACATGATAATTTTGTTTAATAAGTCTTAACAATTAGGGACATGGGTTTTGTTGCACAACCCTGTACTTCATGCACTATCACACTTAAAATCCTGTCATTTTACTTTGAACTCAAAAGCAAACTACTCACTAGCTTATCATATCACCAGGTCCAGCATACGGTGAACAAGTGGTGAACTTCCGTAAGAAAGGAATCAGAACATTTGTAATGACAAATGGAACAACGTATGATTTAGTTGGAAAGTATTTCATCAATGTCGCATATGAGGATTACTATACTCTGTGGATGAGTGTCTTCAGCACAAATCAGACAGTCAAGCATATCTTATTTCAAATTGATGAAGGAGACTGGCATGACATGACTGCTAAGTGGACCAAAATACGACAACACTTCATATTGTGGTTGAGCTATCGATTGAAGGTAATGGAACTGGTAGATATTTTAGAATGCTGTGAATAATCAAAAAGTTGGCAGACATTTTGGTGCTATGAACCACCTAACATAGCTGCCAAAACATTTATAATTTAAGCTGGCGGCAAAACATCTAATTTCACATTTTTAAATTATAAAAAAGTGTTGTAATGTCTACTAACTAATGTTCTTGATATTTTTTCTTGTTCCAGTCATTCTTTCTCAAGCCTGGATTGCACACCATCACATTTAGACAAAAGTCTCTCTATTTCCGTTTTGACAGATTTGCTCTGTCACCAACAAAACTTTCCACCTGGGTTGATCTAGGGATGCAAAACTACCACATCCCAGACTCCTATCTCACTGCTTTTCCTCCAAGAGGATCCAGACCTGGTCCAAAGCATGGGCGCCTTAATGATAAAGGTATAACATGAAAAGATGTTAAAAATAATATCATTCTATAATATAATTCTTTTTGAGACAGGCTTTATAATCCTTGTGGTTTTTAATTATTATTAATATTCTTATTTTTAAAAAGGCTGTATTTTATGTGTTTCAGAGGCGTGGTGTTCTACCGATCACAATAGAAACTACCATTACTATGAAATCAAACTCCCAAACCTGGCCATCCTGTCACGTATTGCTGTTCAGGGAGCTAACAATCTGGCTCAAAAGTCTAACAACTATTGGACAAAAAGGTATAGATATATCTTTCAAGATATTTTCATTTTAGTCAGGTTATTAGTTTGTGTTTGTCTGCATTGTCCCTTGAATTTATTAAGAATGAATGATTAATATAAATTTTTGCTTTTTTAGTTTTAAGCTTCAAGTCTCTGTAGACCATGGAGGTGATCACTTTTCCATGTATCGTAACAGATCAGGAGGGGAGATGATGTTTAAAGCTAATTCAGGTAGACATATTATCAAGAATCAAGGTCAATTATTTTTAAGGCTTGAAAGGTCAACCTATGCATTACCATGGTGATGTTAGAGCTTGACACATTGGACATTATCAACCCAAAATCAGTCTTTGGATGGATGGATGTTTTAAGTAGTGTTTGTAGCTAAAAATGTGAAATAAGAAAAAGTTACTTAAGACTTTAATGGCAAGTGATAATATTATTACTTAATACTGGTGCTGATAGAAAGTTTAATACAGAATCTAATAACGTTTAACCTGTTACAGACTCTTTTGGCATTGTGACAACAGAGCTTCCATATGCCGTACCAGTACGGGCAGTCCGTATCTACCCCCAGGAGTACTACAGCTGGGTGTGTCTAAGGGCGGAGCTCTACGGCATGTACCTCTCTAGTGCATCGTGTGCCTCTGCTGGCCCAGAGCTGCCAACAACTAAACCTTGCATGGGAGACAGGGATTGTGGGAAGAATGCTGATTGTCAAAAAGCAAACTCCACCAGTGGCATGAGAAAAACAAGTAAGTCAGGACTCTTATAAAAACTGTTCTTTGTTAGATCACATCATAACTGTGGAATAGTTATTATTAATTACTAGATGCTTAAAAGAAATGATTGTGTCGATTGCACAAGAAAAAGTACTACTTTGTCATCTATCTGTTTGTTTGTTTGTTTTGCTTGCACTGTAGTCAAATCAACTATTTACCTGCATTATAATATATTGATTTATTGATTGTTGATTATCAGTTTATTGATTAATTGTTTTCTTTAGTTGGTGACCTATGGCAAAAAATGTTTCCATCATCAAGAAATACTTCAAATGAAGAATACTGTACCTGTTTTAAAGGTCACCATGGCGATAGTTGCCAACACTATGGCTGTAAACCAAACCCATGTCAAAATAATGGTACATGTAAGCAGAACTCTCAAAATGGTACTTTTTACTGCACATGCCCACCAGGTTACTATGGAAATACATGTCAGATGTCATGCCAAACAGGTTACTATGGTTACAATTGCTCACAAGTATGTAGATGTGGTAACCATAGTAGCTGTGATGAGGTTACAGGCCACTGTAACTGTCACCCAGGATTCACAGGGAAATACTGTAATGATAAATGTGCCAAGGGTTTCTATGGCAACAACTGTAGTCAAAAGTGTCAGTGTAAAAATGGTGCAATGTGCAACCATTTGAATGGACACTGCAATTGTACTATTGGTTGGACTGGGATGTTCTGTCAAGAGCAATGTCCTTGGAATACATGGGGAATGTTTTGCAGTAAGAACTGTACATGCAGTAAGTCTGCATTAGAATGCAACCGCAAAACCGGTGAATGCATTTGTGAAGATGGTCACTTTGGAAGGTAAGCGCTGAAGCCAAACCCATTTGCAGTAATCCTGTTTCTTAGCTAGTAAACCTGGTTAAAGTTGTATAAATTAAACCTTTTTCTTGCAAGGTAACTCTTTTTAGAAAAACCTGTTTTTTAGGAAGATATACAGTCCTTTTCTCACAAGTGCCAAATTTATGATAATATGAGCTGCCACATTTCTGCAATGAAAAATGTAATACAGACTTGTCTGATTTTCCTTGCTTAGGTTTTGTGAAAAGATATGTCCAACAGGATCATATGGTAGAAATTGTACACAAACTTGCAAATGCACAAAGAATGGCCAGTGTTCAGTCAAAGATGGTGCATGTAATTGTACTCAACCAGGCTTTACTGGATTGCTGTGTGACCAGCCATGTAATCATGGTCTGTATGGAGTTAACTGTGGTCATAAGTGCTTGTGTAAGAATGGTGCAGACTGTGACGGGAGGACAGGTATGCAAAAAAGTTGTTTTGGAACAGGGATACATAGATCCTTGTTAGGTGTTAAGTCCAGTTGTTTGAGAATCCATCTCAAAGAAATACTAATTATTAATATTCTCATAGGTAAATGTACCTGTAGTAGTGGATGGCTCGGCAAGTCATGTGACAAACCCTGCCCACAAGATTCATGGGGTCTGAACTGTTCACAGAAGTGTTCATGTGTGAATGGTGCAATGTGTAATTCTTCCACTGGACAGTGTTCTTGTACATCTAAAAATCATTGTGTCTGTCATGCTGGTTTTACTGGTATTTCCTGTAACACACCATGCAGTGTCGGCAAGTGGGGTGTTGGATGTTTAAAGACTTGTACCTGTATGAATAAAGGTGTATGCAATCCTGTGAGTATTTTTATTTTAATTTATTTCAATATCTTGATGAGAATTAAACCTAAATCTTTTTTTTCCAGATAACTGGAAAGTGCATGTGTCTTCCTGGATTTTCAGGGAAAAACTGTAATGCTCCATGTGTTTCTGGTTACTATGGTAACAACTGTTCCACCCCATGCAATTGTACCATTTCCAGTCAGTGTGATGCTAGTGGTCTTTGTACATGTTTGCCTGGACGGCAGGGTGCGAAGTGTAATGTACCATGTAGTAAAGGATCTTGGGGACTTCAATGTAACCAATCATGTCGCTGCGTCCATGGCTCTTGTCATCCAAGTACTGGACATTGTGCTTGTGACAAAGGTTGGAATGGTACATTATGTAATCAACGATGCACTAATTGTGGGCTGCCGTGTCCAAAATGTTACCATGGAAGTTGTAATACTGTTAAAGGCCAGTGTGTATGCAGTGCTGGGTATACTGGTAGTTCATGTTTGGAGTCATGCCCATCTGGATCATACGGACAGAATTGTGGAAAGAAGTGTGGTTGTGTTCATGGTGTTTGTAGACCAGATATAGGAACATGTGATTGTGAACCTGGTTGGTCAAGAGCAAAATGTGATCAAGGTACTTTGATGATTCTCTTGCTGCAGATTTTAATTTCTGCTATCACTTCTTCCCTCCCTCCCTCCCTCCCTCCCTCCC